TTTAATTATTTCTACGATATCTTTTATTAACTTCATTGACAAGAGGATTAGATGAAAGTACTCGTTTATATGATCTCATTTGTATGCAAACTATTCATTGAAATGCAAAAAGCGTATAAATAATAATATTTATTTATTTATTTAAACATATCATATTAAAGAAAATTGTGAATAAAACAATTGAAATATTATTTTAATTGTATTGTTGCTACTAATTTTGGTAATTTTACAATTTGGTAAAGGAACATTTGTATAGTTAAGTATTTTTTTTTTTTTTATTTAAGTATTGAATTTTGCACGGTAATGCCCATTAAATTTTGTCCTACTGTTAATAATATAGAAATGGAAGAAAATGCATATAATGCTCATAATGTAGTACGAAAATGTATAAAATATTATAAAATATTCAAAATATTTCTACAGCGTTTAACAATTTTCTATTTAGGTTTCATTTTTTCAATAAATAAAAAAAATATAGAATTGTATGAACATCTACAATTTAATTACAACGAAGGAGCATTTTAAAGGAGAAATATAATTATAAAATACGTATATTTAATATTAAGAAAATTCATAATAAAATTGTAATGTATTGTAACATTAATGTATAATCAAAATATGATTATAATTATCTTATATATATGAATTCAAATTTGGAAAAAGTGCCCCGAAGGTTTCTACAAATATATATTTAGTATTTAGGAAAAATTAAAGATATCTTTTATTTTTTACTTCATGAAGCAAATAACTTTTTAATAAATTATTTTAAAGGAATTTATAAAAAATTATAAATTGTAAAATTAATAATTTTTACAATTCTGTATTAAAACAAAATAACCATTGGAAAATTATACTGAATGTTAATGAAAAACTATATTAAAGTTTGATTGTATAAAACTATATTGAATGAAAAATAATTTTTATAAAAACGACACTGAAGATGTAGAGTTTTCAAAAATCATATTTCTATAGATAGGAAATATTAATCAACATTTAAAACAACAATTAAATAATCGATATTAATATTGAATTAAATAAGAACTATTTCTTATAATTACCAGCGACACACTGTAGTTTCTAAAGCAATGAAATCAACTGTACACGACTATTTCAGAAGTACGCAGTTAATACGTTATAGACACATGTATGTGACAATAATTAATGCCACACGCAAGTTAAATCAGAGGCGAATTATTGCACGTGTCAAACACTAATAGATAGCATGATTCAATTTCATGTAATTACTAAAAGAAACAAGGTAGCTGTTACTGCAGCATGGTATACGCGCGACTATATGGCTGGTTATATACATCTCACAAGTAGCAAGTCCATGCTATAATTATGGCGCGAGTTGGGTGAACATAACGGTAAGGTTTCGATTCTTTTCTTTATTTTTCCAAGCCTGTCAGCAGGGAATGAGTACGCGCACGCGTGCGGAACAAATTCCGCGCCGAAACGAAATCAAATCTCTGAGACTTAGATGATAGGTTTCGAGCCACTGTAAGCAAATGTGTGATCAATATCTTCTAGTTTCAAATCGCGCTCGCTTACTGTTTAATTCTTTCATTTATTCTTCTCATTAAATATTAATACGTTAATACCGGTACACAAAATTTATATATTTTTTAGAATTCTATTAAAAATATTAGATTCTTTAAATAGTAATATTATTAATTATTAAGAAAGTAACAATTTTAATAATTAATTTTTTAATACTATATTTTAACATTTTAATTAATTATTTAATTGAATTACTATTATAATTTTTGTATAATATTGTGTTATTATATTACAAATATTTTATTTTCTTGATATTTAGTTTTTGATAGTATAATAATAGCATAATAAAGAAAAATGCATTTTTTATTTTATACTATACGCAGTATCTTGGTCAATGATTTTCATCTCATTTTAATCGTTCTAAAATATTCATGAAAGTAGAAATAACAGTGGCAGTCAACGTGTTAACATGTATTACAAAATTATTACAAAAGTTCGTCGAACTTGGAGAAAAAAACAATTACAAGTAACTATGTTACTGTTATATCTATTTCATGGATGATTAGCTACGAGAGAAAATCAATTTAAATTTGTTTGATCAATATATATAGGATATATATATATATATATATATATATATATATATATA